CAACCATTCCCTTGGGGAGGAAGGGGCTGTGTGTGTGGTGTGGGGGGAGCTACTTCCTGTGGTGTGTTACCAAATTGTTCCCAAGTTGCTCAAATGGAGGAGTTCCCGATTTGATTTCAACGGCAAAAGACCCAAAGGAGGCCCCACCCCAAAATAAAGAGTAAAAGACATTACAGCTACAATCCAGGGAGAAGTGGCCAGAGGGGGAAGGGGGGGCATTGTGGTGGAGGGAGGGGCACAGAGAAAGTTCCCAAACACTTGAGAAGTATGGTGTCCATCACCCCCCAAAGGACGCCTACCTAGTGCAGGCTGCGACCTGGTCCTGGTGCTGGGCTGTTGGGGGGAGGGGGGCTCCCTTCTTCTCCAAGCTCCGGCCCGGCCAGCCAACCCCAGGCAGGGGCCGACTGCAAGTGGGTCCAGGGTAAGGGACCAGCAGAGGGTAAAGCCAGGGCACCTGCATTCCTTCTGGGGCCAGGGGTGTGGGGGAGGCCTGGGGCCCTTCCTCTCACTCTCTGCTTGGCAGGAGGCTCATCCTCCAGACCTGCAGAGGGAGGGTAGAGGCGGGCCTCTGGGGGTGGGCTGGTGAGGGGAGGATGGATGGCAGCCTTTCTCATGGGCCATACAGAAAGGTCAGGCCCAGGAACTGTGCCTGTGGCTCAGGGGGGTGGCCCAGTGCTCTCGGACACCTCTGGGCTAGCACCCCTTCCTCACCTGGGGGCTTTTAGCCCGGGGGTGGGGCAGGGAGCTGCCCTGGGAAGAGGCAGATGGCCAGTCCAGGCCAGTCCAGGAGCAGGTCGGGGTGGGCGCCCAAGGAGACATCCCTGTGGTTCAACTCCTGTTGAATTTCTTCCTTGGGGTCCAGGGATGGGTCCCTCAGGGAAGCGCCACTTTATGCAGGGGAGGGGGGGTGGCTCCTTCCTCGGAGGCTGGGTGTGGGGAGGGGTCAGTGAGGAAGGCAGTGCTGCTTCCCCTGCTTCATGTTTTTTGTCTTTTCCATTTTGACCAATGGGATGGTCCATTTTGTGTGTTGCTTTCTGCCCAGCTGTACCCGAGATCCCCTCGAGGGCTCTCCAAGAACTGGGCTGCTTCTGGGCCAGAGGAGAGAAGGGCTGAGTGGCTGACAGCATCCAATTTTTGCTTTGCGGTGGGGCGGGGCGGGGCGGGGCTGGGCTGGGGGATTTTTTCTATTCTCAAGATTTCTTCTGCCCCCTTTTGAGGAACTTCTTCTTCTTTTCTGTCGATCTTCTCAGAGGAACCAGGACTGAAACAGGACAGAAAATGAGATGCGGCGGGATGACTCTCACCTTGGCCTCAGGACTTCAGGCCTACCCAGCCCCCCAGTGGAGAGCTGCACCCTCCTTTCTGGGGAATCCCTCCCCCCAGACCCTGCCCCAGTGCAGGAGCCCAGCTGGCCATCCCGTGGGCACTGTGCCCAGTGGGTGGGACCCCGGGGCTGGCACTGGCACAGACCTGGGCTCTGGCCCTGTTTCCCATTGTGTAGGTCTTTGTGTGGGTTCTAGAGGGTGGGGTGGGGGGAGGCCAGGCTGTGGCTTTGGTCTCTGAGGGGTCTTGAGAGTGGGTAGGGTGGCCAGGATTCTGTTTAATGCTCTGTTGCCTCGGATGCGAAGCAGAAAACCCCCGTCTGTACACCCAGGTCCCACAGGCAGAAAGGCTGGGGCATC